ATTTGACCAGACAGAGAAAGAGAGAAAGGGAAAATGAGAAAGCAAACTGCCAGGTCTGGGATTCAAACCATGGTCGTTCATGTGGGAATCCCACGCCTTTAGCAACCATGCCATCTGCCTGCCTATATCTGTTGTGTTTTATAACACTAGAAATGTTTCTTCTTATCTAATTGCAATTTTGTTTCCATTAACCAACATCTCTTTATTCCCCTTCTCAATCCTTACCAGTCTCTACTAGTTATTCTTTTTTTTTTTTTTTTGAGAGGTTTTTGCTATAGGGCGCATGCCCTTGCCCGACAGACAGGAGAGGCAGAAAATGAGAAATCACCCCCGAGAAGGGATGGCCACGCTGCAATCCCTTCTCCTCCATTCTCCTCTCAGGATCTTGGGCATGCACGCAAACGCGCCCAGCGTGAGTTTTAAGCCACTGGATCCAGGACACGAACCACGGTCAACTACGTGGGAGTCCAGCGACATAGCCATTACACTAACTGCTGGTCCCATAATTCTTGAACTACTTCTATGAGGTCATTTTTTTTTTCTATTTCCACACATGAGTGAGAATATGTGTGATTTCTCTGTACCTGGCTTTTTTCACTTAACATAATACCCTCTGGGATTGCTCATTTTACCTTAAATGACAGGTTTTTATTCTTTTTAATAGTTGAACAGTACACACATACACACACACATACACACTGCATTTTCTTTATCCAGTCATTTCTTGATGAATATTTAGGTTGATTCCATATCTTGGCTACCGTGAATACTGCTACAATGAAAGGTATCTCTGTGACACACTGAGTCCTTTCCTTTGTATATATGACTAGTGGTAGTAGTAGTATCACTGGGTTATGTAGAAGTTCTACTTTTAGTTTTTTGTTCCACTAACTAAATTCTAACGTTGGAATATATATTGCTACATCACTGGATGTTATAAGGATCTAATGATAAAAATGATGGCTGGGGTGATCTTGGAGAAGTTCAATTAGTTATTTAAAGAATTTAGACGCCTGGGTCCAGCAGAGGGTGTTGTGGTAAAAAAGGCTAAACTCCCACATGGCTGACCTCAGTTTGAGTCTTAGACCAGTGGCTTGAAAATCACACCAGATACGTGTGTATGCGTGCCCAAGATCCTGAGAGGAATACAAAGGAGAAGGGAGTGTAGCATGGCCATCACCTAACGGGGTGATTTCTCACTTTCCCTCTCTCTGTATCTCTCTGTCTGTCTCCTCTATACTGAGCTCACATGCCCTATGACAAAAACCTAAAAAAAAAAAAAAGAAAAGAAAAGAAAAATTAGACTCTTATTCCCCATCTTCTGAGCCACTGCTAATCCAGGGGTTCTAGTTGCTCCAAAGGCCATTGTCTGTATTATTGCTAAATCTCCTATCAGAACTTGAAAAATCTGGGTAAGTAATGTTTTCTGTATGAATCCTCCATGGCCTCTGCAGTTTTGTTATCTAAGAAGTCTGAGAGGCTTAATTTCTAACTAGCATTCCAAAAAAAAGCTAAAGCTCTTTCTTTACCTTAGATCACATGCAGAATCCACAAAGAAAATCTGAAGGTGGGAATAGTTTACAACTATGAAAACCTGACATGTAGTACCTAACATTTACTTATCAAATTCTTCTGAAGGTAAAGAGTATCTAAGAAATCTTATCCAGAAGTACCAAGAAAAATAGACGTACCCTTTCTAGGTAAGCCAAAGATTACATAACACACCTTCACCTGTCTGGCACATAGCAAGCACTCAAGTAAGTGAGTATTTTCCTTTACCTCTTATTGTCAGAGAACAAAGCAGAGTATCCACATGAAAGGTATTGAGGATAATAGCATGAACTCATTTTGCTCCAAGCAGGCCCTAAATAACAGAATGCAGATTTTCTTTTTCTTTTTAATATTTTTTCATTTCATTTTCTTTTATACATTCAATCACATTATTTAGCTTACAAAGTGAATATTCCAACATATGAACATTTCTCCCTAGTCCAGTTGATAAAACTATAAAGTTATCAACAGATAATACCACATTTCTTTGTCTCATTAATACTTTACTTCTCTATTTTTCTTCTACATGTCCTTCCTCAGACTCTACTCTTTCACACACACCATATCTGGTATTCACATCCATTTACTGTGTTTCTATATTCTTTAGTCAGTTAATAGTATGCAGATTTTCAAGCAAGGTGTATAAAGAAAAATCTTTGTTTCAGAAAAAAATTCACCGCAGGATCATGTTAGACAATTCTCAAAAAAATAAAATCCAATTTATAAAAATATGATTCACATGCTATTTTAGGATATTACATAAACTCAGACCACTTATAAATCCAGCTAGCTACCTTCCTCAAAATGAAAAAGAACAATGTTTACAATGCCCACAATAATTCCAGATTTGACTTTTTTGCCACATACTCCCACTCACATATCTCCTGCATTTGTCTGGCTAATTAATCTGTGTACATCAACATCCAAAAAAATGTCAGTTCTTCCATGAAAACATCCCTTATTCTCCAAACCAAGAAACACCGTGTCTGCATCTCTTGTCACTGAATTATTTCACTGTACCATCATTGCATATTTTATGTGTTTTTCACTCATCTAAAAACTCTTAAGGAAAAGAATTGTCTCAATTGCTTGTATTTCTCTACTGAGACTGAAATATTTATGAAATGAATGAATATATTACAAACATAAAATCTTACAGATCATAGGGTGTGTCTGGTGATCACACAGAGGTAGATTTAGTCCGAAAGTTTAAATGATGGTGGTGGGTCTAGGAGTTTGAGAACTTCAATGAGTTTTGTGTAGCCTGGCCAAGGGACACAGAAAACTGTAGATAAGAGGGAAGGACTAAATCTAACCTAAGTACTTACAAGGGAATTCCAAAGGATGAAGGTCATTTGCCAGGATATATAATAGAGATCATGAACACAGGTTCAAGAATAGAGAGACAAGAAAATAACATAAATCTAAACTATGCCAGTTATTACTGGGCATTTTCATACTGTCATCACCACTGCCTTATGAGCACTCTAAGACTGGTGTCTTTCATTTCAGCTTTTCAGTGCTAGGTAGAAAGACGAAACATTTCTCACCAAAAGCAAGAATACTCCATTTATGGGACACAGAAATGGATTACTATCTGTTGATGATAATGTGTTTTGTATCCTCAAGTGAACTGGTGCAAAGTATAATCATGTTGGGTAAAGTCAACTTTCAAGCTAAGTTGTGTATAGTGATTAAATGTATAAAATACATTAAAATGAAATAAAAAACACTTCTTTAAAAGCAGATACAGTCAGAGACTTTCAAGGGCAGCCTCTTACCTGCTGGTTCTGATAGGCTGTGACTGTGGTGAACACAGTCTCAGGAAAATTGAATGTCTTCACACCAGCTCCAACAGGGACAGGCTTGGTAGGCGAAAGATCGCTGCTGAAGTCTTTGCGAATCACATGAACTCGGGGCTGGTATTTGTGCATAGAGTGCAGAATAATCTGAAATGAGAAGGGGAAATATGCCAGGCCTGGCTTTAAGATTTCTGCATATTTTTAAGGTCTCATGCAATATAAATCACAGGATGGAAGTGCTATAGGAAAGCATGATTTGGGAGTAGAATGTATAGTAACTGGAAATCAGAGGACTTGCCCATGGCAGAAGAGACTGAGTGACTAGATACCATGACATGGAACTACACTGCAGAATGTCTCAATCTTAGATGGTACATGTAATGTGTTAACTTTAACTAAATAAATGCTGATACTCTTTCACACACACCATATCTGGTATTCACATCCATTTACTGTGTTTCTATATTCTTTAGTCAGTTAATAGTATGCAGATTTTCAAGCAAGGTGTATAAAGAAAAATCTTTGTTTCAGAAAAAAATTCACCGCAGGATCATGTTAGACAATTCTCAAAAAAATAAAATCCAATTTATAAAAATATGATTCACATGCTATTTTAGGATATTACATAAACTCAGACCACTTATAAATCCAGCTAGCTACCTTCCTCAAAATGAAAAAGAACAATGTTTACAATGCCCACAATAATTCCAGATTTGACTTTTTTGCCACATACTCCCACTCACATATCTCCTGCATTTGTCTGGCTAATTAATCTGTGTACATCAACATCCAAAAAAATGTCAGTTCTTCCATGAAAACATCCCTTATTCTCCAAACCAAGAAACACCGTGTCTGCATCTCTTGTCACTGAATTATTTCACTGTACCATCATTGCATATTTTATGTGTTTTTCACTCATCTAAAAACTCTTAAGGAAAAGAATTGTCTCAATTGCTTGTATTTCTCTACTGAGACTGAAATATTTATGAAATGAATGAATATATTACAAACATAAAATCTTACAGATCATAGGGTGTGTCTGGTGATCACACAGAGGTAGATTTAGTCCGAAAGTTTAAATGATGGTGGTGGGTCTAGGAGTTTGAGAACTTCAATGAGTTTTGTGTAGCCTGGCCAAGGGACACAGAAAACTGTAGATAAGAGGGAAGGACTAAATCTAACCTAAGTACTTACAAGGGAATTCCAAAGGATGAAGGTCATTTGCCAGGATATATAATAGAGATCATGAACACAGGTTCAAGAATAGAGAGACAAGAAAATAACATAAATCTAAACTATGCCAGTTATTACTGGGCATTTTCATACTGTCATCACCACTGCCTTATGAGCACTCTAAGACTGGTGTCTTTCATTTCAGCTTTTCAGTGCTAGGTAGAAAGACGAAACATTTCTCACCAAAAGCAAGAATACTCCATTTATGGGACACAGAAATGGATTACTATCTGTTGATGATAATGTGTTTTGTATCCTCAAGTGAACTGGTGCAAAGTATAATCATGTTGGGTAAAGTCAACTTTCAAGCTAAGTTGTGTATAGTGATTAAATGTATAAAATACATTAAAATGAAATAAAAAACACTTCTTTAAAAGCAGATACAGTCAGAGACTTTCAAGGGCAGCCTCTTACCTGCTGGTTCTGATAGGCTGTGACTGTGGTGAACACAGTCTCAGGAAAATTGAATGTCTTCACACCATCTCCAACAGGGACAGGCTTGGTAGGCGAAAGATCGCTGCTGAAGTCTTTGCGAATCACATGAACTCGGGGCTGGTATTTGTGCATAGAGTGCAGAATAATCTGAAATGAGAAGGGGAAATATGCCAGGCCTGGCTTTAAGATTTCTGCATATTTTTAAGGTCTCATGCAATATAAATCACAGGATGGAAGTGCTATAGGAAAGCATGATTTGGGAGTAGAATGTATAGTAACTGGAAATCAGAGGACTTGCCCATGGCAGAAGAGACTGAGTGACTAGATACCATGACATGGAACTACACTGCAGAATGTCTCAATCTTAGATGGTACATGTAATGTGTTAACTTTAACTAAATAAATGCTGAATGACAGGTCTAGTGCCAGTGGACAACACTCCACTAAAAGATCTCAGAATCTCTGCCATTTGACAACCCATTCCCTTCAGATTCAACTTTTCAGCATCGGGTTCATGTCAACTTTAAATTCTACATACTTCCATTTGCGCTCATTATTGAATTTATGGACATTCATTTATATCACTTGAGAATGACTGATAAATGTACATTCTCACTCCCTCAGAAAATTGTTATTTTCTTGAGGATAAGTGATGGTTTTAGCTTCTTCAGTCTCCCAATAACACCTAGCATAAATTCTGGCATTAAGCAAAAATTCAGTCCATGTTTTATTGCCAAAGATAAATTGATAACATCAGGTGCTCCAATTATACCTGGAAAGCCTTAAAACTTAATCTTCTGTTATAAATTCATATATTCTTGACAAATCAGTCAAAGCTGTCATTCACTTGTTTCCCTTAGTTTATTGCCTTGTGAGTTATTCTACTGAATGTTGTGATTTCTTTTACCATTGTTTAATTTGTCTTGTGTTTCTGTCTTGCCTCCCTGACTGAACTGCGAGTCCCTGGAGCACAAGGACTTGTCTGATAAACACAACCTGATGCATAGCAGATGTTTGCTAAATGTTAGATTTGTAATATGAAATTTAACTGGGAAAAAAATGTTATGCTTACTTACTTAAAATGACTTAAAGTGGCATAGAGAGTCTTAATTTATTCATTTGTAAAAGCCTGGGGCTAGTCAGCTCTAAAGTCAAAAGGGAAAGAGAGAGGAAAAGGGAGATGGGATTTTTTTGACTCACATGTCCTTGGTCATCCAATTCATTGTTGGTCAGCTTGAGTTTGTCGAAACTGACCACCTGTCTCATCCAGGTATCTCCAGAAGCTAGAGAATCAGGGTGTATATAAACTCTTGGGGGAACAGGGGAATCAGCATTGCCGGCTACCATCCACTTGGAGCTATGATACACATATCTGGGGTAGAGAGGGAGAGAAGAGGATTCAGAAACAGATACAGGGAAGGGACAGGGCCCAGGAAACAAGTAGACACAAGAGAGAGGAGACAAAGGCACAGAAAGAATGGAGCAATAATAAACATGAAACAGAGAATAAAAGGAGAAAAAGAGAAGGGCAGACAACCAGGGAAAATGCAATAGAGATGGAAATGGACAACGGGATAGGGAGGGCAGAGAAGTGTAGTTAATGATCAAAGCCAGAGCTCTCACGAGGAAAACATTCTCACAGTCCTTTTTCTTTCTTCCCCCTCCTTCTTGCCATGCACCCCTGTGTGCACACAGGCATCCTGAACCCACGTGTCTAGCTATGGAAAAGGTATTTTACTGCAACCTTTCACCTTCCAAATGCAAACCATATAATCCCTTGGCCACTTGTTCAGGATTTTGTTCCTTATTAAAAACATCTTCCATATTGTCCTATAAAATGCAGCCATGTGCAGAGCCCCTCCAAGCCTCTCTCTTGTTAACCATTTCCTTGCTGAGAATCCGAATGTAGAGGCATTTCTATGAGAACGGAAAGCCTTTACTTTAGTGTCCCCTTTCCCAGAAACACCACCAAATCTTTCTAGTTAGGGTTTTCTTTGATGAACCTAGTTTTGAATTTTATTATCTCCCATATTATTTTTCTACAAAGTTACCAGAAATCAAATGTTCTTGGTAACAAAGGAAGTCAGTGTCTCAGACTATGCCAATTTTCCTGTAGTTGTAAAGCATGGTCTTCATGCCCTGGCACTTTCCTGCTTCTCAGTTCTCAAGAGCCACATGGAACATGGACCCTGGCAAATAGAAACACTCGGTCCAGTCACAATTCCTAAGATGCTTGAAAACAGACATCTCTCTTGGCTAGCAATCTCCCCCTATCATCCTAGTTCTGGAATTCCCTATTTCTCTCGCCAAACTCATGGATTTAGGGCCAAATTCTCAGATTAGATATTTCAAATATGAGCCACAATTCACTGAGATTTAGTAAAAAATTAATACATCTTTTACTGCCAAAGATAATAACATTCGGTGCTCCAGTTATACCTGGAAAGCTTTAAGATTCAATCTTCTGGTTATAAATTCATAAATTTTTAACAAATCAGCCAAAACTGTCACTCACTTGTTTCCGTTAGTTTATTGCCTTGTAAATTATTCTACTGAGTGTCATGATTTCTCTGATTGAGATTTCAAGAGATCAAATAAGTCTTAAGTTTTTTCTGACAAGAACTATGTATAAGTCATAGAGGAGATGTGGAAACTATGTTGGATTCTAATGACTTCAAAGGTAAAGTTATTTAACTCACTCACAACCCATATTAATACACAATAAATCCCCTCAGCTGGATAATTGTCTTGACATCTTACTCAGTTCTCCTATTCTCCCTTTCCAACATCAGTAGGGTGAGCCATAATATGTATGGTTGAATGCATAATGTATATGAACTGCTTCTCCTTCCCCTCCCAGAATAAATCATCCTGACTTACTTAGCATTTCACAAATCAAAAAAAAAAAAGAAAAATCAATATGCCAATCAATTTCAATGTGAGTTGAATTTATTTTGGACATACGATCCATTTGATTTGGGTTACCCTAGGAAACCCTATACAATCTTATTCTCTCTAGAGACAGAGGGAGAACTGTAGACCAAACCATTACCAAACCCTAATTTTCTAGCTGTACTCACTATCTCGTGCCTTGTGTTCTGCCACAGCCATTGGCATATTCTCCATTTTGTGTTCCCTGTTCAGTGTGCATTGTTAAAATGATTCATCTAATGAGTTTGAAGAACTGCCTTGGAATGCTGGTAAGGCCCACCGTTCCACATCTCAGAGTAATCATTACCTGTATCTTTTATTGTCCACAGGCACAATATCCATTGCTATGTAGTACTGCTGATGTGGATCCAGGCCAGTGATTTTTACTCTCATAGCAGGAAACATCCTCCTGTGAAGGGGAATAAGATAGAAAGTCAGCAATCAGAGAAGTAGCAGAAATAAGTATTTGAGGAGCGTCTGCTTTTTTGAGGGAGATTGTTGCTATAGGACATGTGTGGTCACCAGAAGACAGAAACAAAGAGACAGAAAGAGAGAAATCACCTCCAGGGGGATGGTCTTGGGATTTGGGGCATGCAAGTACACACTGGATCTGAGACTCAAACTCCATTTGACTACATGGGAGTCCAGTGATGCAATCATAATACCATCTGCTGGTCCCACAGAGCATTTTCTTATTAGATATACTGAGCATGTCAAATTTCAATGTCCTCCCCTAATTTTCCACACTGACTTTTTTTCACTTTAGAAATTAATACTATAAAATGTGTTAGAGACTTACATTGCTGAAATAGTATCTCTAAACTTAAATTGACATATCTGATGATTTATATACTAACAGGGCTCATACCATACACTGCGTTATATTTTTAGTTAATGTTGAATGTGACATAATTGTATGTGACTATGTCTCTGTGTGTCTCTACATATACATTTCCTATTAGCTGAAATCTTAAAAATAGGTACAATGCCTTACACTCTTATTACCTGAAGGTGATCATAGTTTATTGTAGGTGATCATAAAATATTTTTAACAAATTGAATTTATTTGAAAAGTGGCATTCTAAAAAATAATCTCTCAAAAAAGGAAAAAGAAAAAAACAAAGAGAGATGGTTTTACTAGTCCCTAAACAAAAGGGTACTAGATTTTTGTTAATGCATACAATGGTAAAAAAAAAAAAAAATTTCTGCGAGTTCTCAGGCTGTCAACGTGTGTGTCAGAGGAAGGACCCTGCCAACCAGGGAGCAAATACCAAATGAATTCTAGTGGCCTCTGGGCAATACCTTGTTTCTACCACAATGGCTTGTTAAACTTGCCAAAGCAAGTGAGGTCAGGATACAACACTTTACAACTTTTCTCATAATTGAAGAGAGGAGGAGAGGGAGCAGCCCAAAAGACATATCAAGTTTCAACAAGTCTAGAATAAAGTTCACCATTCTTCTTTAACGGTAAGAAAGAATTAAAAAAAAAAAATCAACCTCTTTTGCACCAAGCCAGGCATAAAAGGTGCTCAGTTCAAAATTTAGATTTCCGTGAATGTGCTCTAGGGTACTTGTACACAAAATACTGCATTAAGCTTAGCCATCTGGGGCCAGTTAGTCGAGCTGGGCAAAGCCCAGTGCTAATGAGGTCAAGGTCACAGGCTTGATCCACATATGGCCTAATTGGCTTTGCTCCATTTCACGGCCATAGACTGTACCCTGACCTCAGACAGCCATCTTGCAAATGTGCCCTGGTGGGTGACATGAGAGGTTCTCTTTGCTAGTTACACACTTGCCGCTCACCCAGGAAAAGCAATCAAAAAAGCAAATGTCCTCTGGCATTAGGTCAGTGATATCAATAATCATATTTGAAAGAAAGCACAGAAGGAACCACAGACATTTATCAGGGATAATAGCTAATTCTTGTATTATTTTAAGTAATAATATATAACCATTGTTTATTTCCAACTTTATTACTTTTTAGAAGCTTCTTTTGGTATATTTTAGATTTTTCTCCTGTTCTCTCAAGTTTATTTAGAAAGCCTTATCTTTTCATTTTATGGTGGGATAATGAGATGTAATGATAAGTTTCTCATAATGACTAAATCTAATATTCACTGTAAGTTAGATGCTTTGATCAACATTCTTTGCAAAAATTTGGGAAACTTGTATAAACATATGTTTAAGTACAGAGTAGTAATTCCCTTTTTTTATTTGCTAGAGGATACACACTCTCATCAGAGAAATAGAGAAAGAGAGAGGGAGAGAAGTGAAGCACCCACCAATGGATGTTGTCACACCTCAGTTCCTTTCCCTCCATTTCTCCATCCTGTCAGGATTTGGGGCATGCATACTTACATGTCTAGCATGTTTTTCAAACCTCTGGGTCTAAGATTTGAACTTCAAAGTTAGTCATGAGGGGTCAAGCTCCCTTAACCAATTAGGCTATATGGCTGACCCAGTAGTTCCTTTCTAACAACAATTATGTATGATGGTCCCATATATATATATATATATATATATGGTTGGAAAGGATCTTGCCAGAAATAGAAAGTCCTTCTCTTAATTGCTTTTACATTGCTAACAGAAATGCCTAAGAATGTGTCATTTATAAAGAAATAAGACTTTATTAGCACACAATTCTGGTGGCTGAGGAGTCCAAAGGTATAGACCTGGCATCGGGTTGGCTACAACATGGCCAACAGAAGCACAGAGGACGGCGGATGCATGCAGAGAAAGAATGAGTTCCTGACAGCTTTCTTTGATAATAACAGCTCTCCTAAGAACTAACCCCGTCTCATGAAAATTAGAACTCACTACGTATCAAGAGACATATTTAATATATTCATGAGTGTTGCATTCATGATGTAATCACCATGATCTAATAACCATGCTAGGTCTCACACTTCCCAAGATTAAATTATAAAACATAAAAAAGTAGTGTACAAACCATCATCCAAACCCTAATAGTTTTCTCATTGAAACAAGGAAATGTGGTTCCTCTCAGACACCTACAGATGCTCTCTTACATTGAAAGATATTTTTTTTCCCTTGATGACTTCAATGAAAGGGTTTAGATGTTTTAAATTCAATTATCTGTTTTGTCTGGGACAGTTATATAACATTGAGAGGAAAAGCTACCCATCCATCTCTTCCCAGTAGCCAAGTTTTAAACTAGATGAGCTGTGTAACTTTGGATAAGTCACTTAAGCCCATCGCCTATAAAACAAGAAGGTGAGCCAGCGGGTAGCATGATGGTTAAGGAGGCTGGATCTCACGTGGCAATGAAGACAATTCACAAAATAGAACTTCACTATTTGAATCCTGGACCTGACAGCTTGAAAAACAAACCTGGTGCATGTATGTTCATGCCCAATATCCTGAAAGGAGAAATGAAGAAGGGATTGTAGTGTAACCATACCCCATGGGTATGCTTTTGCACTTTTCTACTCTCTCCCTATCTGTCTGGCTCTCTCCAGAAAGCACACACACCTTCTAGCAAATAAAAGATAGACAGACAGACAGACACTAGGTAATCCCTAAAGTGTCCACCTGCTCTAAAATTCTATAACTATGTTTAAATTATCTTCTTAAAAACTTTCTAAACATTGCCCTTCCTTTTCATATTTTAGCATAAAATATTACTAGCAATTAAAGTCACGACACTTTGGAAAAATTTAATCTTTCACTTTCGTAATTTACAAAATGAGATGTGTTTGGTTTTGATTTTAGAGCTAACTGTAGACTTGTTCTTTTTGTCTTCCAAACCCATTAATCCCTACCAGTGCCTCTGTCCATGGTGCTGATTATACAGATTGAGATGATACCTTCAAAGATTGAAGGCTCTCTAGATTGAGGGCTCTGCAGTAGTTCTGAATCAACAGGATTACAGCTTGGGGGTGGGTGCAAAAAAAAAAAAAAAAACAGGTCGATGGTGACTAAGATCTTCTGAATAGGAAGAATGGCAGAAATTTATATGTTCCTAGCATAAATAAGAAAATTGAAATTGAAATTAAAATAGAAAAGGATATTGCATAGAAGAAAAATAAAGTGACAGGAAGAAATCAATGAGGAGAAGAGGGAAAGACAAAGAAAATTCACAATATAGAAAACCTTATTCTTTTATGTTTCAGGGTCATTCCAGAATTATCTAAGCAGGGTTACACTTAGTGGCAGCAATAGCTAAGGCAATCCAATGCAGAAACCATAAATGTATTTTCTAAACCTAAATAAAGGATTTCAATATGACTGAAGAATAAACTGAATGTCTTCTAGGGGACATTTGGGGTGTATTTCAATATGAATTTGTGGCAACAGAGATGTGCAAAAGAAAATGTTGCAGAAGAAATCATGAAATGATTCACAACAGAGCTGTCAAGGAAGTGTTCAAGTGGATTGACTCCACTGAAGTTTAAGTAATGGGGAAATGATATCAGAATTAAGAGTGACAGGACCAGCAGTTGGCATAATAGCTATGTCACTGGACTCCCATGTAGTCAACCGTGGTTTGTGTCCCGGACTCGGTGGCTTAAAACTCACGCCGGGTACGTGTGCGTGCGTGCCCAAGATCCCAAAAGGAGAATGGAGGAGAAGGGATTGCGGCATGGCTGTTTAAGTAATGGGGAAATGATATCAGAATTAAGAGTGACAGGACCAGCAGTTGGCATAATAGCTATGTCACTGGACTCCCATGTAGTCAACCGTGGTTTGTGTCCCGGACTCGGTGGCTTAAAACTCACGCCGGGTACGTGTGCGTGCGTGCCCAAGATCCCAAAAGGAGAATGGAGGAGAAGGGATTGCGGCATGGCTGTCCCCCCCAGGGGGCGATTTCTTGCTTTCTGTCTCTATGTCTCTCTCTGCCTTTCTGGCGAGCATACGCGCCCTATAGCAAAAACCTTTCAAAAAAAAGAAAAAAAAATACAGCAGTCACCTTAAAATAGGGAAGGCTATTCCTTAGTGCACTGCTCCAACTGG